CTTCCTATGCTGTTACTATAGTGCACTTTTATATTATATTGTATATTACGACAATATTACGACAATATAGTCTCATAGAAAACATGGTTTTACCACCAGCATGACACAGTAGGTGTATAACCGTATTAATCTTGTAAATGAATTCCAACGTCAACTACATCCTTGACGCAGTGAACTTGATAATTTACGTACTCTTACATTAAGATTGTTTATACAAATAATTTTTTGTGCACCGTTCGCAAAATTTGTTTTTTAGTATTATATAGTATTGCAAATGTTATCCATTAAATCATAATTTCTCTCGTCTATTTTTGAATTAGGACCCAATGTCTGACGCTATTCTTCACTGGTGTTATACTTAATACAATGCGACATTTCCATTTGTTCAATTGCATGTTATTAATTAATTTACACGATCATGAATCTAAATGCAACAATTTTTATGCCTACCGCCTAAAGCCATGAATTTGAAAAGCTTTTTTAAATATTAGATCGACAAAGTACTTTATATACACCTCTTAAATTAATGTAATAGAATGAAATTAAATGGCAAATATTTATAAATAGGGTAGTTTATTTTAAATGCTTAATAATAGTCTCAAGCAGTTTGTATACGTAAAAGTAAGTGTGATAAACAAGAAAAAAAAAACTTATATAATTGTTGTTATACTGATAGATTTAAGTTTCCGTTTAATGAATCATACTATATTACCAACACGATCCTGCCCTTCATATCGATATCGATCTCTATTTTAAATGCTTATGACGTAATATTTAATTAAATTTTTATGTGTAAAAGAAATTTGCATCAAGTAGGTACGTACGCTATAGACAAAATACATAATAGCATAATATGATTCGAGAGACACGTCGAATAAATTTTATGAAAGCAAGTCATGAGCAATACTTTAGCGAAGGATTGTTTTTACCGATACTGCACACTCACAAGCTCACAAGATTATCTGCACTATGTATTAAACCATTAGGGTTAGACCGGTTTCAGACAGGACGACTTCCGTATTAGTGACTGGAATGGGGCTGACTTTTTAACATTCCTAATACGTAATGATAATAAGAACAAGGTTTCACATTGATTATCGTTATATAATGGAGGTACAAATCAATCATACTGTACTCATAACGATAAATGTACGTGTTTAATTATTAATCTTTCTAACATGTTTATGTTACCGAACGAATGTCTTTCAGAAATATTCAATAATTTTCAGAATGATTATTCAAGTCTATTTTCATGTCTTCTTGTAAACCGTCGATGGTGTAGAATTGTCGTACCAATATTATGGAGTAGACCAACAGTTTATTTCAATGGTAGTAAACCCATAAGAATATACCTCTCCGCACTAAATGCTGAAGAACAATCTCAATTAATCCCCTTTAAAATTACTATTCCAAGCTATTCAAGACCATTATTTGAGTACGCAAGTTATACTGTTTCAGTTGGCTTTTATTTGACACATGGAGTTGAAAATTGGCTCATTGAAGAATGTAATGTGAATAGATCTAAAGATTCAATTTTTATTGTAAATGCTATTAAATATTCTTTAGTGTCAATGTTTTTACGAACAAGTGAAAAACTTAAATATTTAACATTTCATTTGGATCATTTTAATTCTGATGGAATAAAAGTATTAATGACAAATATTAGTAAAAAAACTAGTTTGATTTCTTTAGATCTTTCATTGAATAAGCTTGGTTCTGAGGGAGGAGAAGCACTAGCGGAAACTCTTCATAATAACATCATTATAACTTCTTTAAATATTAGTAGTAACGATATTGGATCTAAAGGAGGAAAAGCGTTATCAGAAGCTCTTTGTAAAAACAGTGCCTTAACTTATTTAGATATTAGCTGTAATCATATTGGTTTTGATGGAGTAAAGGCATTAGCAGAGGCGCTTTGCAAAAATACTACTTTAACTTCTTTAGATATTCATGAGAATCAATTTGGTCCTATAGGAATGAAAGCATTAGTAGAAGTTCTTTTTAAAAATAATACTTTAACTTCCCTAGATATTGGAGAGAATAAAATTGATTTTGAAGGAGTTAAATCATTGGCAGAAGTTCTTTACATTAACACTACTTTAACTTATTTAGATGTTTCATATAATCATCTTGGTCCCAAGGAAGGAAAAATGATTGCAAAAAGTCTCTACGCAAACACTGCTTTGATTAATTTATATATTGACCATAATCAACTTGGATCTGATGGAGTGAAAGCAATAGCAGAAGCTCTTCATAAAAATGTCACTTTAAAAACTTTATTAATCGGCGTTAATAATGCTGGTTTTGAAGGGGTAAAAGCATTAGCAGAGGCTCTTTGCATAAACACTACTTTGACTTGTTTGGATATTTGCTGTAACGAGATTGATTTTAAAGGAGGGGAAGCATTTGCAAAGGCACTTTGCACAAATAATACTCTAACTTATTTAGACATCGGCTTTAATGAAATTGGTTTTAGAGGAGGAGAAGCATTTGCAAATGCTCTTTGCATAAATACTACTCTGAAAACCTTAGATATTCATGAAAATCAACTTGGTATGAGAGGAGCAAAAGCATTAGCAAAAGCTCTTTGTAAAAATATTACTTTAACTTCTTTAAATATTAGTGGTAATGAGATTGAACTTAATGGAGGAAATTCATTAGCTGAAGCTCTTTGCATTAACACTACCCTGACTTCCTTAGATATTTCTCGTAATAAGCTTAATTTTGAAGTCGGAAAAGCCTTAGTGGAGGCTCTATATGAAAATATTACATTTACATATTTAAATCTTGATGGCAATCAAATTGATTTCAAAAACTGCAAAAACACAAAAAGCATAATCGTACTAAAAAAATTTTTCTCTCAGACGCTACATTATTATGCTTAGATACTGTATTTAATTTGATTTAAACGAAAATTAGATATTATTAATTATTAGTAAAGGAAATATTGGCTCATAAATTTTTGTAAAAGATAGAAATGCACCGGTTTTCCTTATGTAAAAATTCACTAAACTTAAATAAAATAATTTGCATAGCAATAGAACGTTATTATATCATTTTTAATCTGAATTTTAATAAGTATAGTTTGTCTTAGATAGCAATAATGAAAATTAACTTATAAAATTTATAAACTTTTGCATCTTTACTGATCAAGAATTTATTAACGGAAGTTTACTATTATCTAAAGCGTGATAGAACGATCAAAATGAAAGGCTGTATTAAATCAATGATGACAAGTAAAATTGAATGCATTTTATAGGATATTGAGTAAAGAATTATGTGCTTTATTTCAACTAATGTTCAAAAATTCAGTTCCTCAAGGATTCAAGTGAACGCATGAACATTCTAATGTGCAGTGCCCTAGAGATTGGACTCTACCCAGGCATTATTAAATTACCCGGGTTATCCAGGTAACTTATTATGTATTTCGGGCAATCATATAGCAACAATTCTACCCGAGTCCAAATCCTACGTGGTCTACTATAATTGATAGGGTGTGAATAAACGAGAGGTTATGTAGGAACTTGGCAGCACAAAGTAGTGCATGTTAGGTTTAAAATCGATTGCATGACGACATTTACCATATTATCGCAAAATAACGCCCAAACAATATAAAATTCAAGTTGTAACATTCTCTGAATTAATAAAGTACAAAACTTCTTATTTTCTTTTTTTTTTCTACTTAATAAAATTACATTTATAGACCTCTTTTTAATGCGTTTTTTAATTTAATATTTTTGTTAGTTTTTTTTTGTTGGTAAATAATTTAATTTCACCACTGATTTTTTATCTTAGATGTACATCAGATTAAGTTTTGCATCAAATCAAAATTTAAACATTTATTAAAATGTAAGTCACGGTAAAATTTTCATAACTTTGACTAAAGATACTACAACTACCTAGTGAACTTCTTTTTATTTGCTTCCAAATTTATTTGCCTTAGTATCCTATTCGTTTCGGATTTTGGCACCAAAAGTTAATCAGAAATCAACAGATTTATCTGATACTCGTCAAATTTAACAGATTGCTAAACAGTAGAAGTATGAAATCAATTGTTTCTTGATTAATCTTTTTTGGTACCAAAATCCGTAAAAAATAGAATACGAATAAGGTTAAATTGACAACAATTGGGTGACCTCTACTGAATATCATTTTACTTGTGCAAGCGAGTAATCTTTTAGCGTAGCCAGACCAAGACTACTATATAAAAGACGCATATACAACAATCAGCAAAAGGAGTGATTGTAGATCTTTGTAATCGATAAGATGGACAGCCACGAAATGATATCGGGGCGCAATACCAATTCCGCTAATTGAAGCCAAGAATCAAATTGGGCGCAATATCAATTCCACAAAAGGAATTGATTAAAGCTGATACAATATCAATTTCACAAAAAGGAAGTTGATTGAATCCGAGAATCATATGTAAGTAATGTAGAGTATGTGTCAGCGATGTGAGAACGACACAATGTCAAATGCTCAGGAGAAGATAAGGATATAAATAAATAAACCAGCTCATAAATACAGGATGCACTGGTACTGAAAACATAGCAACAAAAATTTCTCAACTCACCCAAGTGGAAGACCTCCAGAGCAATAATTATTGCCATTCTAGATCAATTACTTGCTTTTTAGTCGTATACTGCTTTACCAAACCATTTTAATTAGGAATATGCAAGTTGAATCAACTGCGCAGGCTCCGCATCTTGCGCAGCTGCAAGCTGACCAGAATTATGTCAACTGTTCAGAATTATCGTTATGCTATCTAGCTTAAATTTTAAGCATCTATTGTTTAATAAAAAGTACGCTGCTGGCGTAGACCAAAATAAATAAATAAATAAATAATTCAAAAAATCATTTCCATATTTGTGCAAGCAGTCTTTTACCCTAGCCTCAAACGTTAAAGCCAGGTGCAGGTTAAGGTTACTTTTTTGATGCATTATTGTTATTTTTTATATATAGACATCAAGAATACATTTTATGCTTTAACGGACACCTATATGAGTGATGACAAAGGAAAACCTGACACGTATATGATACGTAATTAAAATTAGTGCTGTAAAAAAGAACCGCGAAGTCCGGTTTTCTTTTGCGGCACTAATATTAATTACGTATCTTATCGATATACATATCAGTATACGTATCTCTGAATCTCACTAATAAAAAATAATTAACTACGTAGAGGTCAGGCATCACTCATATATGGTAAGAGTAATTTACAACGTTTCACAACATTTCACGTTGATTATTTATTGGAAGGAAAATTGATCTTCATTGTACATACATACCTACGTACTTCTAAATTCTTTAAAAATGATAATGTTACCGAGCGAATGCCTGTTAGAAATATTTAATAATTTTAAGGCTGATTACTCAAGTCTATTCTCATGCCTTCTTGTAAACCGTCAATGGTGTAGAATTATTGTACCAATATTATGGAGTGAACCAACTGTTCATTTTTTTGATACAAGACTTATAAGAATGTATCTTTCAGCTTTAAATATTGAAGAACAAACATTATTGATCCCCTTTAAAATTATTACTCCAAATTATCCAAGACCATTATTTGAATACACAAGTTATACTGTGTCAGTTGGTTTTTATTTGACCAGTGGGATTAAAGATTGGCTTGTTGAAGAATGTAATTTGTATAGTTATGAATTTACTTTTATTATGGATACCATTAAACGGTCTTTGGTTACAATGTTTCTACGAACGAGTAAAAAACTTAAATACTTAAAACATCGTTTGGATCAATTTGATTCTGAGGGAATAAAAATTTTAATGGATAATATTAATAAAAACACCAATTTGACTTTCTTAGATCTTTCATTTAATCAACTTGGCTCTGAGGCGGGGAAGGCACTAGCAGAAGCTCTTTGTAGCAATATCTCTCTAAGTTCTTTAGAGATTAGTGATAATAATATTGGATTTAAAGGTGGAAAAGAATTGGCAAAAGCTCTTTGTAAGAACAACACTTTAACTAATTTAGATATTAATTACAATAATATTGGCTTTGAAGGAGGAAAAGCATTAGCAGAAGCGCTTTGCCAAAACACTAAATTGACTTCTTTAAATGTTTATAATAATTCACTTGGTTTTATGGGTACTAAGGTATTGATAGAAGCTCTTTTTAAAAACAACACTTTAACTTTTTTAGATATTGGAAGTAATGTAATTGATTTTAAAGGAGTAAAAGTATTAGCAGAGGTTCTTCGCACAAACACTACTTTGATCTCTTTATATGTTGATAATAATCAACTTGGTTCTGAAGGAGTGAAAGCAATAGCAGAAGTTCTTCATAAAAATGTCGCTTTAAAAACTTTATTGATCGGTAATAATAATGCTGGTTTTGAAGGTGGAAAAGCATTAGCAGCAGCACTTTGCATAAATACTACTTTGACTTCCTTAGATACTGGTTATAATGAAATTGACTTTAGAGGAGGAGAAGCATTTGCAAAGGCTCTTTGCACGAATACTACTTTAAGATCCTTAGATATTTGCGGAAATTACCTTGGCTTTAAAGGAGCAAGCGCATTAGCAAAAGCTCTTTGTAAAAATGTCATTTTAACTTCTTTAAATGTCAGTGGCAATGAAATTGAATTTAACGGAGAAAAAGCACTAGCAAAAGCCCTTTGCATAAACTCTACTCTAACTTCCTTAGACCTTTCTTACAATAATCTTAATTTTGAAGATGGAAAGGCTTTAGTGGAATCTCTTAACAAAAATATTGCTTTGACTTGTTTAAATCTTGATGGCAATCAAATTGATTTTAAAAACTGCAAAAATATAAAAAGCATAAGTGCACTAAAAGATTTTTTCTTACATACTTATTAAGATATCAAATTTGACTAAACACTGAGTAATAATAACTATTAAATGATGCAAAAGTTGGCAAGGCTCCTGTTTTTCCTAATTTAAATATCTATAGAATAGTATAAACATAATAATTTAGCATTATGTAATTAGCAGACGCTGTTTTATAAATTAGTGTTTATGTTAGTTAAACTTTCATCTATTGTAATACTTTGAACTTGAGCGTTAATAAATTTGATTTATCTAAGCAACAATTTCAATGTAAAATTAATAACTTCATATGTATTTGCTAATCAAAATTTATTTACGATGATTTACAATGTATGTGGAATGTGGAGCGAACAAAATGGCGGCAACTGAGCAATGTACCAGATAGATAATAATTTTATAAAGAGATTCCCTATAAAAAATTTTCGAAAAACATATCCCGACTTTCTCCAGATAAAAATCGTTCCTAAAAATATTCATTTGTCAGAACAAAGTATATACAAATTTCCGGTAATTTTGGTAAAAATTGAATACGGTTAAGAGTCGGCTTTAAATCTTGCTCTTTAATATAATTCAAAGCTGAATCTTAACTGGATTTAATTTTATCACGAAATTTATCAAGATCTACCTGGAATTTATATTAGTATATTCCGGAACGATACTGGAACGATAATCTTGAGAAAGTTGGTACACGACTTAGAAACATTTTCATAGGGATTTAAAAGCTAGTTTATTTTGATTGTAAAGATTTTGTTTATTTGTAGCGCAATTATGTTATTAAAATTCGAATCAAGAATTTTAGAGTAATTTAGTCGGCCTACAGTTGTTAGGCAAAACTTTTTTAGTAGATGGCAAAAGTCAAAACTAAACTGGGCAAAAGTCAAAACTTGGCAAAACTCTGGCAAAACGGCAAAACTCTTACAAAACGGCAAAACTCTAGCAAACGGCGAAACTTCGGCAAAACATCTAAAATTCTTAAAGAAGGTCAAGCACTACGAGGTTCAACTCCTCTAAGCTCTGGAAGGACTGAGCCACATTGGTGAATCAAAATATTTTGTGTGTGGTTATTAAGCACAGCACTTGGCTTATATACAAATGTGCAAAATAATAAACAAAGCAATAGCCTTTCATTGTATTTGAGTATTATTAAAAGAAAACTAGAATTCAGGTTTTTGAACTAATAAATCAATTTAGTCTTCAAAACCAAAACCTGAAATTCTGTTTTCTTTTTTTTTTTTTTTTTGGTGTTAAGGTGAGGCCTTGCTCATATCTTTATTAGTAATTTTAGTTGTACATATTAATA